CCCCCCCCCAACCCCTTTCCCTGCCAACCCATGCCCTACTTTTCTACTAGGCTAATTTCTACTCATTCTTTAATTTCTCCAGGAACATTTCCCAACCCCACAAGTCTGTATGAGGTACTCCTTCCATGTGTTCCCACAGCATTTGAACTTACCTTCACATAGCACTCACCGCAGTATAGTGTTGTAATCGTCAAGTTCCATGTCTATATCTTCTGCTAGTCTGCAAGAAGGAATGTGATCCATATTTGCTCATTGGAATTTCCTCAATTCCTAACACAGTCCCAGGCATACAGCAGGTACTCGGTGCATATCTGTTGAAGGAATGAGAAATGAATCATCATGTCTCCAGCTAGGTTCACCATTCTGAGAAATACGTAGTAAAGTACCTATTATGTGCATTTTACTACCTAAACTTTTCTTTAAAAAACTGAATCTGTCCCCTGGTCTTATCTACCAATGCCATCATCCTAGTTGAGATATATATTATTTCCTGACTGGGATACTACAGCAGCTTCAATCTCAATCCTCTTTGCTCTGTTCTGCACACAGCTACCACAATGATCTTTCTAGAAGCAAATCAGTTCATGTCACTACCAAGATTAGATTAGTTGGTTCACTATAACCTATAGGACATTCCAAGACCTGAGCATGGCAAAACAGAGCCTCCGTGACCTGGCTCCTATCAACCTCTTCTCCAGCTACATCAACCGCCACTGGCCCACCAGCACTTACTCTCCAGCCTTAAGGAACTAATTGCTGCTCCCCGCAATCCCGCCAAATGCCTTGGCTTCTCATCATGCTACAAATTCCTTCACACACACACTTTGTCTCCAAGTAGCTTACCTGATTCACTCCTATTCTTTCAACAAAATGTTCATTGACTATTTATTATACATCATGACCAAGTACCATCTAACCCACAAATATAAGGTTGGCTCAACATACAAAAAAATCAATTTATGTAGGATGGCATATTAACAGAACTGAGGGGGGGCGGAGGTGGGGAGGGGTTCAACCATCATCTTAATCACACAGAAAAAGGATCATCTGACAAAAATCCAATGCACTTTCACAAAAATAAATTCAATAAAGTAGAAGTACAAGGAAACTTCCTCATCCTGGTACAGTGCATCTATGAAAAACCCAGATATATAGAAACACTAAAGCATCCACCAAAATGTGTGTTGGGGAAGGGACTAAACTGAGCCCTATTTGAATATCCAATAAATGGGCTCAGCAAAGTTACAGGATCCAAGATCAACATGCAAAAATCAGTTGCATTTCTATACACTGGCAGCTAACAAACTGAAAAGGAGGTTAAGAAAATAATTCCTGGGCTGGGGATGTGGCTCAAGCGGTAGCGCGCTCGCCTGGCATGCGTGCGGCCCGGGTTCGATCCTCAGCTCCACATACAAACAAAGATGTTGTGTCCGCTGAAAACTAAAAATAAATAAATATTAAAATTCTCTCTCCTCCGTCTCTCTCTCTCTCTCTCTCTAAAAGAAGAAAAGAATTCCTTTTATGATAGCATCAGAAAGAATAAAATTCTGAGGAATAAATTTAACAAACACGTGTAAGACGTGTACTCTGAAAACTATAAGACATAGCGGAAAGTTATTAAGAAGACCTAGATAAATGTAAAGTATTCCATGGTGATGGGTTGGGACACTTAGTGTTGATAAGGTGGCCATAATCTCCAAGGCAATATACAGATTCAGGGTGAAGCCTGGTGGAATCCAACCTGCCTTCTTTGTAAAAAACTGACAAGCTGATCCTAAAATTCATGTGGAAATACTGAGGACCTGGATGCCTCAAACATGCTCAAAACAGAAGAACAAATTCGGAGCACTCACACTTCTCAACTTCAAAACTTACCAGAGAGTTACAGTAATACAAAAATCGTGGTATTATCATCATAATAGACATATATGTTCATGTTATAGAACTTAAAAGTCAGAAACAAACCCACATATTTATGTATAGTTGATTTTAAGTAAGGGTGACAGGCACATGTAGTGGAAAAAGAATAATCCCTTCAACAAATGATTCTGGGATGATTGTACAGACACGTGAAAAAGAATAAACATGGACCCCTGTGTCACACCATATAAAAAACTAACTCAAAATGGATGGATCACAGATCTAAATGTAAGGACTAAAACTTTTTTAAACTCTCTCTCTCTTGAGTTAGTTTAACAGGATTTATTTGTACAGAATACCCTTGGCCTCAGTTCCCATCCTTGATAAGAATGGTGCTTTAAAAAATATCTTTGTTTATTCATTTTTATGTGGTGCTGAGGACCGAACCCAGTGCCCTACACGGGCAAGGCAAGCACTCTGCCACTGAGCCACAACCCTGGCCCATCTTTTTTAAACTCTTAGGGAAAAAAAAAAAAAACATAGATGTAAATCTCTGTGAACCTTGGATTAGACAACAGTTCCTTCACCATGACACCAAAAGCACAACCACAAAAGCATTTTCTTTTTGCAAATTGGACTTCATCCAAATGGAAATCTTTTGGACACCAAAGGACTCTTATGTAGAGAGTGAAAGGACAACCTGCAGAATGGGGAAAATATTTACAAATCACATAACATATCTGAAAAGGGTCGGGTTTCCACAATATACAAAGAACTCTATAGCAAAATGGCATTCAACCCAATTTCTAAAAATGGGCAAAGAGCTTAAATGGACATTCCTACAAAGCAAATGCACAAAGGGCCAAGAAGCTCAGGGAAAAATGCGCAACGGCATTAGCCATTTGGGAAATGCAAATCAAAAGGACCATGAAGAAGCACTTCACACCCGCTTGGATGGTTATTATACAGAAAACAAAGCAAAGAGAAAACAGCAAGTTTTCAAATAGAGGATGTTCAGAAATTAGGATGCTGACACACTGATGTTGGGAATGCTGCTGTGGAAATCAGTTTGGCAGTTAGTCAATAAGTTCAGCATTGAATTACCATATGGCCCAGGAATCCCACTCCTAGATATAGGCACCAAAGAATTCTAAACAGGTGTTCAAACAAAAACCCAAACAGGAATGCTCACGGAAGTACTATTCACAATCGCCAAACGGTGTATGTCATCACCTGTCCATCAACTGATGAGTGGATACACAAAATGTGGTGTATGCATACAATGGAGTATTATTCAGGTGTGAAAAGGTACAAAGTGCTGATTCGTGCTGCAACGTGGATGAACCCTCATGCTAAGCGAATGCAGTCGGGCACGAAAGGCCACACATTTAACTCTGATTGCACGTATAGTTTCCGTCCAGCATAGGCAATTCTCTATGGTAAGAAAGCACGTTAGTGGCTGCCAGGGGCCCTCAGGAGCAATGTATGTGTGCACGCGCAGGTGTGCACACGCAAGAGCGAGGGGGGGTGGGGGGAGGGGAAGACAGCTTAAGGGGTACCGGGTGTTTCTGGGGGGCGGTGTAAGTTTCTTGGAAGTAGATGGTCCTGGCGGTGGTACAGTACTGTGATGGGACATACTTGACGCCTCTGACTCGCACCCCCCAGTCCTCTTCTTCTTCCCTAGACTGCTCCCCTCTAGCAGAAAGTGAGAGCTCCTGTGCCAAGATGGGAGGGCCCTGGCCAGTGAGGAGGCTAGGAGGCCAGGAGGCCTGGAGGCCATCTGGCCTCCCCGTCTAGGCCCAGGCCCACGCACTGCGGACCAGCCGGCGAGTGCTGACATCACCAGAGCGCGTCATCGCCGACCAACGAGGGGGCAGCCGAGGGTCGCTAGGATACGGGCCCTGGAGCACTAGACCCAGACTACCTGCCGCACCCACTGAGCACCCACCGTTGGCATCTAAACCGGCATCACATCAAGCCAGGCAAAGCCCAGTCCAGCTGAGCTGAGCAGAGGGAGCCCAGTCCAGCCGAGTCAAGCTGAGCAGAGCAGAGCTGAGCAGAGCTGAGCAGAGGGAGCCCAGTCCACCTGAGCTGAGCCTAGCATGCCAAGGCAGAGGAGCCGTGGAGGAGGAGGAGGAGGAGGAGGAGGAGCAGCAGCAGCAGCAACAGGAGGAGGAGGAAGAGGAGGAGGAAGAGCAGCAACAGCAGGAGGAGGAGGAGCAGCAGCAGCAGCAACAGGAGGAAGAGGAGGGTCGTGGTCGGGGTCATCCCGTCCCCGGAGGCAGGCCCGCTCCCGCACCGCCCGAGCCGAGCTGACCTTCTCCGTGAGCCAGGTGGAGCGCCGTCTGCGGGAGGGCCGCTATGCCCAGCGCCTGAGTTGGTCTGCGTCCGTGTTCCTTGCCGCCACCCTCGAGTGCCTGACGGCCAAGGTGCTGGAGCTGGCGGGCAACGAGGCCCGCCACAGCGCCAGGAGGCGCATCACCCCAGAGCTCCTGGACATGGCCGTCCACAACAATGCACTGCTCAGCGGTCTCTTCGGGACTACGACCATCTCCCAGGTCGCCCAGCCCCGGCGCTAGCTGCTGCTGCTGGCTGGGGGGGGGGGGCCCTCGCCCAAGCACCGGCCCACCTGTCCACCAGGCCCCAGGCCCCCTCGCTCTCGGGCCAGCCTCGCCCGGCCGGGCTTGTGCCTTTGGCCAGCCCTTTCATTAAAGCGTTTCAAGAAACCCTCCGCCTGCCTCAGTCACTTTGTGTTGGGGGCGCGGGGGGGGGGTGGTGGTCTCCAGGCCTCTGGAGTTGGGGAGACAGCCAGGCCAGGCGCTGGGAGTGCTGCGGGGTGGGCTTCAGGCCTGTGGTGTTAGGTACCTGGGATGGCAGGAGGAGTAAAGGGAGGAAGAGGAGAGAGAGGGGGAGGAAGAAGGGGGAAAGAGGGGGGAAGAGAGGGGGAGGGGGGAGAGAGGGAGAGGGAGAAGAAGAAGAAGAGGAAGAAGGGGAAGAAGAAGAAGAGAGGGGGAGGGGGAGGAGGAGGAACAGGCGGCAGAGGCGGAGGAGGCCTTCTTCCTGGGGGTGGGAGGGGCAGTGCAGGGGGTGACCCTGGGTGGCAAGGGCAGGCCAGCGTGGGCTTTGTGGGGCGGGCGTCGAGGTACAGAAGATGCTTCCCCATGGCCCTGAATGACTCAGGGCCTGCCTGCCTGCCCGCCCACCCACCCAAGTCGCCAGCCAGAGAGGGAGTGGCCACGACACTAGGGCCGTGGGTCGTGACAGGACCCATGTCTGAAGGCGACCGGCTGCGGTGGGGTGGACAGGTGGCCACAGTGGCGGCGCTGGGCGCCCACGGGGCAAGGAGCTTCGACGGCAAGATGGAGACGTGAGGGGGGGAACGATCCAGGGAGGAAAAAAAAAGAAACAGGGAACTCGGGTCAAGCAGGGTCACGGATTGAGCTTTGGTCACGTTCAGATGGAGAAGCTGCTAGGCGCCCTTAGCAACCGAGGGCCACTAGCTGCAACCTAGCAACAGCTGGCGCCCGCAGAGGCCCCGCAAGCCCAGGACCCCGCCTCGGTGCAGAGGCCCTCGTCTGGACCGCCCCATAACCCGTCATTGGTGTAGGTACGTCGCGGGCAGCCAGCCGGCCGGCCCCGCCCCGCCCCGACCATTTGCATAGGCCCCGGACCGGGGACTCTGCATTTGCCCGGGGGGGGGGGTGGGGGGGGCCTACGGGAGGCCAGGCCCCGCCCCCTCGCCCTCGATTTGCAGGAGCAGCTGCCCGGATGGCCAGGCCACGCCCGCCCGGGACCCTCGATTTGCGTAGGAACCCGGCGCCAGGCCAAGCCCCGCCTCCTGACCCGCGCTACGCAAAGGCAGCCGGCTTCACGCCTCTCCGGTCGCGTCGGTGACTGAAACCAGCCCCGGACCCGCCCGCGGCCCTGATTGGCCTACGCGCCTCCCAGCCTCTCACCTTTGCGCATCACCAGGGCGACGGGGGACTGCGGGGGCGCCGCAGCCAGACGCGTGCTTCGAGGCGCGCGGTCGCGGTAGGCCGCGGTAGGCCGCTGCAGCGTGACGCACGGCACGTCGCGGCCCGCCGGCGGCGTGGCCGGGACCTTTGCCCACGTAGGCGTGCCCGGAAGTTCCCGGGCCTGGCAACATGGCGGCTTCCACGTCCGGCCTCGGCGGTGGCGTCGTCCCTGGTCCCGAAGCCGGGGACTTCCTGGCCCGGTACCGGCTGGTGTCGAACAAGCTGAAGAAGCGGTTCCTGCGGAAGCCGAACGTTGCGGAAGCCGGCGAGCAGTTCGGTCAGTTGGGCCGCGAACTGCGCGCCCAGGAGTGCTTGCCTTACGCAGCCTGGTGCCAGCTGGCAGTGGCGCGGTGCCAGCAGGCGCTCTTCCATGGGCCTGGGGAGGCGCTGGCCCTCACCGAGGCCGCACGCCTCTTTCTGCGGCAGGAGTGCGACGCTCGTCAGCGCCTCGTCTGCCCCGCCGCCTATGGCGAGCCGCTGCAGGCGGCTGCCAGCGCCTTGGGCGCCGCTGTGCGCCTGCATCTGGAGCTGGGGCAGCCGGCCGCCGCCGCCGCCCTGTGTCTGGAGCTGGCCGCCGCCTTGCGCGACTTGGGCCAGCCGGCCGCCGCCGCCGGCCACTTCCAGCGCGCCGCCCAGCTGCAGCTGCCCCTTCTGCCCCTGGCCGCTCTGCAGGCGCTCGGCGACGCCGCCTCCTGCCAGCTTCTGGCGCGCGACTACAATGGCGCCCTGGCGGTGTTCACGCGCATGCAGCTCCTAGCGCAGGAGCATGGCAGCCATCCCGTGCAGCAGCTCCAGCCTCCACCACCGCAGACCCTGCTGGCCCCGGCGCAGTCTCAGCCCCAGCCGCCGGGGCCCCAACCCGGACCTGGCGCGACCCCCTTGGTGTCCGCCGCACCGCTCCCCCCAAACCCTGGCTCTGCCTTGCCCTCTCCTGTCGCCCTGGGCGCCTTCTCGGAGGTGCTGGTTCGCTGTGAGGTGTCCCGGGTGCTGCTGCTGCTGCTCCTACAGCCACCTCCGGCCAAGCTTCTGCCCGAGCACGCCCAGACTCTGGAGAAGTACTCCTGGGAAGCTTTTGACAGCCACGGGCAGGAGAGCAGCGGCCAGCTTCCTGAGGAGCTCTTTCTGCTGCTGCAGTCCTTGGTCATGGCTACCCACGAAAAGGACATAGAAGCCGTCAAGTCACTGCAGGTGGAGATGTGGCCTCTGTTGACTGCTGAGCAGAACCACCTCCTTCACCTCGTTCTGCAAGAAACCATCTTCCCCTCAGGACAGGGGGTCTGATAATCACTTTAACCAAAGACCTTTTTGCCTGGTAGTCAACCTCATTCATCCACCTTTGCATTTAGGGGGAAATAAAAGGCTTTGATCCAGGTTCTGCATCTCCTGTTACTCATTGTAACCATGGGAATTTAGCTGACTGAAGTTACCTCCCAAATGTGCTTTTCTACCATCGAGGAGAAAAAATAAAATGGAATAGTATAGAATCACAGTGAAGGACATTTTCTCTCTTCCAAAAAACTACAACATTAAAAATGAGAATCCTTTTAATCTTCTTTCTCTTTCACCCCCATCTTTCTTTCCTAGTGAGCACTTGGAAACAACATTGGGTTTGCACAACTCTGAATATGACTTTATGGTTCATTTCTTAGTCTGTTTCTGTGTGTGTTGGTGATCACTAATTTTTTCCTGTGTTTCATCTCACATGTTCATGGGAGTCATTTTATGCCTTAGAACCTTGTTGCTATAGCCCCAAATCCATGATAAAATTGAATACTCCTGCCTTGAGATTAAGATTTGCCTTATCTGTAGTAGACAACTTCACCAATGTGTCAGGAGGCCAAAAACAGGACTAGATTCTTTTAGTCCCAGGATTTATTCATTCATTTCAAATATATTCTTTTCCTGGTGTGGGGACCATGCTGGGTAACAAATGAATCAATCTATAGCAGAGGCCATTTGTCATATTATTACTGAGAAAATACCTAAATAAACCTTCCAGCTTCCCTTGCTCTTCAATGACTTTAAAATAACTAATTTCAGAGGTCACATGACTGGGTAATACATTTACTCCCCAGCTGGCTTTGCTGCAGATGACACCTGAGTGTGCTATAAGGATAATGGTTACTTAAGTTACTATTCAAGGGCCTGAAGGCTGCTTTTGCTGAAAACACTGACTCTTCATTTAGGCCTGCAAATGTCCCATGCATGACTGGAATGAGATGAACATACTTAACATCTCTATCTTCACTTTGTGACTGTCTCCTTTGTTGCATCAGTTTTTGAGTGAGATTCTTCTCAACACCACATGTCTAAAACTGTAATATAGCGTTAACATGACCTAGATTTACAGTTTCTCTTTTAAAGCTAACAACACGAGCTGCCACGACCAGAAACAGACCATGAAAGAAATGAAAACAAATATTCCTGGAAGATCTCGGCTTATTCCCAGAACACACATGAATATTCCTGTACTTTATAAGACTTTCCCTCTCTTCATTATTCCTATCATATATCCATAACCCCTCAACGCCTTGGAGTGAGAAGCTTATTTATGAACAAACTTTACTTCCTGCATTCTTTGACCATTGAAAAAATAACTTCTTTCTCTGTGGCACTCAGCTCTCACACATTGGTTTTGTTTTTTTTTTTTTTCCTGTGAGACTAACTTCCAAACCTGGTTTCAGTAACAATATGGTTGTTACTCAGATTATTGCAATAAAAATGTGTGCAGCTCATCAGTTCATCATTGTTTCTTTGCTGATTCTTTGTTTTGCAAACCTTTAAATATATTATAAGCCATTCATTTTAATTATGTTACCTACTTGCCTTGGAAGTCAAGGTTCTAGTATACTTCCAACAGGTGCATATAATCTAACATTGCAACTTTTATTTAACTCAAGTTTGTGAACTCTGAGCACAACTCTTTTTAATTGTGGAATCATATATATGCAAGGCAGGTCCTTGTTCCCCCCAAAGCATGATGACATTCCACTATGCACACGAAATTAGTATGTACAAAAAATGCATGTTAATAAAAAGTAAACCTCAAGTTTCCAAGGCTTATTGATCCAAAAGTTCCATACAAACCAGCTTAATAGATATCTCATTTGTAGTTATTTTTAATTTTTTAAAACTCTGAAATATAACTTAAAATTAAATTTTGAAAGCATGCATCCTTATACTGAAGTTATATACAATACTCATCTTTTGGAGTGATATTTACGGACATAGCTTAGTGTTAGATTTGTGTGTGTGTGTGTGTGTGTGTGTGTGTGTGTGTGTGTGTGTGTGTACTTTCTTGGGGGAGAATTATAGAGGGTTGCCATCTTGAAATGGGTGGGATTCTTGGGGTATTCTGGGCATCCATTTCTACTGCAAATGTGTGAAAGTAATGGGAAGTACAGTAGAGGTCCATGTGAGATAGAATCAGTCAAACATTACTCTCTTGGTTGCCAGAAAGAGTAGTGCATACTCCTCAAAGCCTAGTCCAGCTGATTGCAAAGTGGCTATTTTTTGGTATGCTTCCCTCAACCCTACCTGTGGGCCTGAGTGACTGACAAAAATATTTAGGGGTTATGGAGCAAAAGTGGTGAAGGGTTTTATATTGGGGCACAAGAAAAGCGTATTTAGTCCTATTTAGGCCCTTGGTGACGTGGAGGGAGAATCAGAGGGTCAGGAATTGGGTATATAATCATAATTCAAAATATTGTAAACTACAATAAAAATGAAGCAGTGATACTTAAAGAGGATAGAGGTTCCCTTTACCCCATTATTAGAAATATTGCTTGTGAATCAATATTTGATGTGGGACTGGTATAAAGATACAAAGACATTGATGATAACTAGGATGGAGGAAGGTAAACCAGACTGAAACTGGGCAAATTTGTGATTGAAGGGTTCTGGTACCTGAGGATTAATGTTAACTGTCTAGACATCTTTTCCACCATTACACTAGACAAGCAGTCTTCAAACTTTTTTTCTTTAAATGTCCAGATAGGGATGTGTTAGTCTTTACTGACCACAAATGGTCTCTGTGGTTGTTCCTTTGCTGGTTCTTTGTTTTTTGCAAACCTTTAAATATATTATAAGCCATTCTTAATTCACAGTGCATACATAATTAGGCTGCAGGCCAAATCTGTAGGCTACAGTTTGCCCATCCCTGTATTAAAACCTAGAACATAAACCAAGTGTGGCAGTGCATGCCTATAATCCCAGTAACTTGGAAGTCTGAGACAGGAGAATTAGAAATTTGAGGCCAGCCTTGGCAACAGAGAGACACTGTATCTATGGGTGTAGGTGAGTGGTAGAGCACCCCTGGGAGGGAGAGAGGGAGGGAGGGAGGGAGGGAGGGAAGGAAGGAAGGAAGGAAGGAAGGAAGGAAGGAAGGAAGGAAGGAAGGAAGGACTGAGCACACAGCAGTTGTTCAATAACTGTTTAAAAAAATAACTCTTATGAGAGTACATAATAATTATTTTAACCTTCTCAATGTAAAATAAAGATTGAACATAAATGGACTAGACATTCAACTCCAGATTGTAGGACTCAAACATAAATAAGATAAACCAAAAGAACATAAAAATGGTTTTTAAAGTTTTAAACAGAAATTAATTAATTATAAAGCATCACTTCCAAAACTAGGTTTCATTTTTAAAACCAGGAATTAATTCTTTAAAAGAACAATAAAATAGACAAAAACTTGCTAATCAAGGGGCAAAAGAGAAAAAAATAAATAGATGTGTATATACAGATACAGATATATGGCATGGGAAGAGAGATATGGCTATTATACACCTTACAGGTAACGTAAATGAGAAACCCAATAATCAGAGAAGGAATGGAAAAGATAGTCAAGTATCTACCACCAAAGTAAGCACAAAGTAAGTATCTACCACCTAGTTATCATCAATGTCTTTGTATCTTTATACCAGTCCCACATAAAATACTGATTCACAAGCAATATTTCTAATAATGGGGTAAAGGGAACCTCTATCCTCTTTAAGTACAGGTATACCTTCTAAATTTACTAAACGCAATTATTACATCAATTAAGCTATTCTAGAGCAATAGTTTCATGGAAAAATGGAGCTTACCAATTTACTTTCAAATTTAATATAATCCTCATTCCAAAACACAAAGAAGTAAAGCCCCTCCAAAAAGGGTTAATCAATTTTATTCATAGATAAATTCTAAATAAATGTTGGCAAATTGGATGCAAACACATTTTAAATGATTACTACCCTATGAAAGAGGTTGTCCTAGTAATGTAGTACAGTGGTGTGTTGGAGCCCTCTTGCACTGGGTCATGAGAGCATAATAAATCCAAACCTTTCCTCAATAACCTCTCCCCACTTTGCCTTTAAGTTGATTGTTAATCACCTGCCAGCACACCACTTAATATAAATATTTAGCAATACAAAAGTGAAGAAATGTGGGCTGGGGATATAGCTCAGTTGATAGAGTGCTTGCCTCACATGCACAAGACCCTGGGTTTGATCCTCAGCACCACACACACACACACACA